AATATCATCTTTTACGATTTATTGATGAAAACTAGGTCACTTGTTTCAAGTCATAAAAGAGTTTTCTAGATTGATTAAACATTATTTATAGAAATATTTTATTTCAGTTGAAAAGCTCCTAATAAAAATTATATATACCTTCTTAAAATATATGATGAACTTTATAGTAGAAATTTGCCACATCATAAAATACAGAGTTAGAGTGTGGAAAAAAAATTAAACGGAAAAATTAGAAATAAAAAGCAATTTAAAGATACAAGTCATCACAATAATTTCATGGAGCATAGCTAACTACAATAAGACGTAGCTATAAAAGACATTACAGCAAAACATGAGCATGATTTTTATAGAAAATCTAGTACCAATGTAGTCAACATTGCTTTAAAATTACACGTTTCTACTTCATAATTCTGAGAAAGACACACTCGAGATAGAAATTAAACTTTTTCGAAAAATAAAACTAATTCATGAATTGTTTTCGAGTAATAAGAAGTAGAATACTTTATAAAGAAAACTAGTTAACTAAAAAATTACGACAAAATAATTATATTAGAGGATGGAAGAAAAAATGATCAAAATAAACTAATGAAATGTTGAAAAGATCCAATTTTAAGTGTATTTTAAAGAAAACTGGTTATTAATAATAGTTTGTAAGAACAAATGAGAATGTCAGAGTTTGTTTATACGATCAGTAACAAATCAACGCAACACCTCAAATACTGGTAATTTGCCAATACTCGATAACAACTTAATTCGAGGCTCAGTGAGCGCGATCAAACAAAGCGTAATCATTCGATTGACTTAATAAGCGTGTAGAGCAGGCCAACACTTTTGGAGGTGCGAAACAAGAGGCCACGGCCCCGATTAAGCCTTCGTCCGGTCTTTACCTAACAGGATAATCATCGTTGAATCTCAGTACAACCCACATGTGGTCTACGTTCTTAAACAGAAGAAACACAACAATTTAGCAGACATGTACCAATTTGTACTTCATCCTCGTCTCTTTCATACGTGTCCTTTATTAGATCTGATACCCGGTGAAAATAATTCAACTGATAATCAATACTGATTCACACATACGTTCATGATAAATGAATTCATCTCAAAGCTTTACCGTAGGTTGATGTGAAGAATTATCTACAATAAATGTACAATCATTGATAATTATAGGCGAATAATGAATACGTCTAAATTTTATTCATAAAGAAAATAAATTAATTCATCACTAAATTGCTCCGATCAAAGAATTCACATAAATTGAGAGAAAAATTTAGATGTTCCAGAAAAATGTATAAAAACTGATTAATATGATCATCATTAAATAAATTATGTAGCAGAAATTTCATAAATTAAAATTGTCTGTATTGAAGTTTTTTTTGTGTTAAAACCTCAACTTTCAAACTGAATTATGTCGAAACGATTACTCACGAGATTCATTGTGTTCAGGTGGACTAAAAATTGATCGATTGAAAATTAGAGGAAAGGATAGTAGAAGAGTGAACATCAGTGAAGTAGGAAGAGAGAAAATAGTAAATTTTTTGTTACTTATTGATTCAAAAAGCTCAAAAAAGAAACAGTATATAAAGCCTTTCATAGCATGGTGTGTAGACCAGCTAAACAAACCACACTTTCTTTTCTAATCACTAAATCGCCGAGTAGACTCTTCACCCAGACGGTGCATCTACTTAAAGACTACTGGCACGAAGTGGTCAAAGCCGCACGAGCGTGAGGCACAACAATCAAACAAACGAGCATGTGTTTTAGAATCATTAAAATTTTATTAAGCCAATTCAAAGCTTCTACACCTCATGCAACAAAATAAAATAAGAATTTAAGGATTAGTTTCATTTTATTATTATCCTCTACAATATATATTGCAAAGGATAATGCAAACACAAAGGATTCAGTCAAAGAAAGCGTTCGATAGTGTCTGAGTCAAATTATAGGGTTGAACTGCAATCATCACCATCACCACCTTCTGCAGTATGTAATGTTTACAATAGAAGAAGCGCCTTGCGTCGATATTTGATGAATCTTTCGTTTCATTCCTGTCAATTTAATATTTAGTATCTCTACCTATTCATGCTACAAAATTATAGATGTAAACTAATAGCTTTCTTTGTCAAGAAGCAAACAATGCGATAGACTTACCAACTAATTTAATATTCCCGACAAAGATCGATAATTTATCAAAATTATCGTATTTAAATAAGATCGAATTTGAGAAGAGTTGGAATAAAACTCACAAAAAAATTGTATTATTCCATAAGAAGCCCAAAATCATCAAATTTGCCCGAAAAAAAAACAATCAATTTTGATGATTAGCATAATATATTTTTCTACTACTCTACAACATCTCTTAAGTTCAATCATGAACGCAATGATCGAACATTCAATCGTCAGACAATCGTATTCGATTGCAAAGACGAATCAATGAATTATTTAGACGAGGAATTGAAGAAGCAAGAGACAGAGGAAAGATAAAGAGAGGAAATATCCAAGTTGTATCTGTATTAAGAGGCACTGTCTTTTCGACTTCATTTCTCTCTGGATAAGGAAATGGAGACGTCCAAGTCTTGAGGCAAAAAACTCCGAACATTATAATCAACTTGAGTCATTGAATAAACTAAATGTCATATTCTGTGAACATACATTCAATTAATTTTTCATACAAATACCTTTAACAGCAGTGAAATAATTCAATAACGGATAAAGATTGTAAGTGAGAAATTTCTCATATCAATTAGGACTTTATCAAACAATTTCTGATGATCACTGGATCGTAGAAGACAGTAGAGAATACTGGGAAACATATAACGTAAGAGGATTCTTTGGTATATAACTTGATGTATGATCAAGGTAGAAATGGCTGTCCGCGCGCGAGTGCGTCCCGATAAATCTCTCAGGTTTTTTCGTGCCAAGGGAGCCCCGAGGCCAAGCTCAACCAAAGCCACCGATGGGAAAGAAAGAGGAAGGGGCCACAAGGGGTGGGAGTTGTCGTTACGCGTATAAATATAACGTTTTCATAAATATTAATGGGTTTGAACCAATTGGACTCGATTCAATGGTGGCCGCACAAACTTCTTGGTGTTCCTTCGAATGAGAAACTCAAAGAGATTTCAAATAATACTCGTATACAGACTTAAAAACACTTTAAGTCAAATGATAAAGATATCCATTACTCGTTTCTTTCAACAGATATATTTTGTTTTAACGTAAAGACTTAGTGTACTTGCGAGAATAAGTCACGTCGAGAGTTGTCCAGTATCTTTGTACAGCAGAGAAATTCTTCAGCAGACCAATCGTGTCGTCTGTCACAGTGAAAGAACACCCAGGGTCTCATAACCCAAGAAGAACTCGAACTCGGTTGAAGACTTGCATTGCCTTTACTCGACGAGGTTTCGTTAGGTAATGGTAATGATGAATCCGGTAAATCTGCAAAATACGACTTCGTTAGTATGGTGAATACATGAAAAGATTCATTGAAAATTGACTTACTTGGTATAATTTACGTACATCCCCAGTTCTTATGCAAAACAATCATAGTCAATAGCATCAAGTCCATTTACCCTATCAAGAGCTTGTTCACCCTTGAGATGACAGCAAGCAATAAATTCTCCAAGATCTTCAATGGTCGTATCGTAGATTTCAATCAGTGCGGACCAAAGAACTCAGATATATCCAAAGTTTGGTCATCTTTCTCTTACTCCTTGATGTCCATTGCGTTTCTCAACTCGCAGACTCCATTACGAACCGGTTCGTGAACGGCGTTCCCTCAAACGTGACCGTAAGCGCCTGGACGCGCGCGCGATCGGAATTATTTAGCGGTTTATTCAGCTAATTTAATAGCGGAGGACGTCAGGGTGGAGGAAAAAGTGAACTAAGGCAAATGTCGGCGTGAGCCGAATGGTCATCATTGGACCCCCCGATATCATTGAAGACGATTACGATGCGACCGATCGCTTCAACGGGAATGTTTTCTTTTGCTGGGACTCGTGGATGCGGCCCTTTATTGGATTTAGTCCCCTAATGATTTCGTCAAGTGGAAAAGAACCTGCCAACATTCCGCGACGTTCATTCTGCATTCGAATTTGGTATTGCGCGAGACATTCGACTATTCTCTTGATTCTTTATATTGTACACTGTTTTTTATTTTGACTTTATAATTAACTTGTTAATTCATCAAAATTCATCGTAATAATAACCTTAAATGCGCCAATTTATCTCAGCTTGATACTGCGTCATTGTAAATTTTACTATAATTATTCATGTAATTTATATTACCTTATAAATAATAATTTTTTACAATTATTTGTGTCATATTATTGAACTGCATAAATTATGCCATATGTAGAAATCAATTTACATTTTTTTATAATTTTTACGATCAACAATGCACATCAACTGCGTCATTACTGAAATGAAACGCAAAAATGATTTTGTCGACATTTCGAGCTTTTTACAAAAAAATAGTTCGCCACCTATCGGCATTTTACTCAACCCATAATAATAATACAGTCAATAAAGCAAGTATACCTTCTATCGATAAAACTAAGTTATTTTTTATCAACAGATGTTATTAAATAGAAAATCACAAAAACAATTATTTATTTAAAAAAAAATTAATAATATAATTTTATTAGATTATTTGAATTCTGTTATAATAATAAATATAGGATAAAATTTTCTTTGACTATTTTTATATTGATAATAATAATTAAAAAATTATTGCTATTTATTTATATTGTTTTGAATGGTGAAAAAAATAAATAGTATTTACTGTTTATTTTTATTGATTGATTTTTTATTTTTTTTTATTTTATCTTTACTATATTTTATGCTTATCAATGACACCTGTTGCCAACTTTTTAGTCGACCACAGGAATATTTGAAGTTATATTGTTGGTAAACCTGAACGAACCACCGCCATCTTCCTAGAGTCCTTTGAGTGTCATTCGTTCTCCCTACTTTATCGCACTGTCTCATTCTCTCTTGTTAGAATTTCCATTCCTTCACTGTCAGACACAAATAAATATCTCATTCTCTTCAATGTACCCTCTCCGCTGATCAGTTTCACATCACCTCTCTCGTCTCATAAAGATTCTTGAGTCTCAACTTGCTGTAAGTTATCAGCTCGTGTGTGATTCACTATTTCATCTGATTTTTATAGAGAGCAATTTAAAGAACTCTAAAAATAATTAATTTTGTTTAGTAAATTATCGATATGTGAACAAATTGCAATGACACACCCGTGCTCTATAAAAATAATCCATTGGATTGTCGCCTAGTTCGTTTGTAACTTTTTTGCTACTTGAAGTGGACGGGACGCAATTTCTAGACAGCCACGAACATTTATTTATGTGTGCGCGTGTGACAATTGTACCGTTGCATGATGCACGCTTGAACTTTGGGCGGGCAATATTGTTTCGTTCATGGACATCATTAACTGAGAACAAGGTGAGTGGACGATTGACAATCCTATGTAGAGCATAAATATATTTCATAGTTTTATTTTATCACAAATACATCAAAATATTCATGAAATTTCATCGTTTTCAGATGTACACTGACAGGTTACGACACTGTTTGTTTTCCTTACTCACTTTCACACCTGATATTTACTACTATGTAATCACTAATTCACATTATTATTGTATTTCATCTATCAGAGCATGTTGAATGCCACTAACAACATTCATTACTCATCCATTGACTATGCAACGGAATTCTTTGAAAGATTCCTTGACAGTTTCCCTTGTGTTTTGTCTCACGATGAGTCTAGAACAATTTTCTTTGATGTATCACGTACGTGTGATATTAACTGGTCAATGTAAGCATATATAATTTCTAATCTCGATGAATCACCAGTTAAAAGGATCACTATGGAACTCTGGAGGTGATAAATATTTTTAGAACATTGAGTCCATTGTCAATCTGTTCTTCGAATCATTAAAAATCATTCAGATGATATACAGCTTAGTAATAATTAATGTAGTGTTGTTGGGTATTTAATAGAAGAATGAAGAAGACTCATAAAAGTGACTCGTTAGCAACAAAATATCAATACAGCTCATTTAAAAGGATTAATATTTTGAGTAAAAGTAAAATCTTTACAACTTTAATCCTCTTAAATACATCATTAGAAATTAGCATTCTTTCTTATAAGAGAAAGTTTTACTTTTATCTGTAGTTTTATATACAAATATTACAAAGTACTATTAAAAAAATCAGTTTTCACTTTTAAATTTACTCCAAATATTACCATAATTATAGATAAGAATTAATTAAATGTCATTAAAATTTTATTCTTTATTTTTAACATTCGGTAAATATAAACGAAAAATTAATAGCCTCTGATAGCTCAGTACAATAACAACCTCTAAAAGAATTGATAGCAAGATTAAACTAACAAATGAACATTAATCTTCCTCAAGCTTCTCTTGAAATTAAAGAATAATTAAAACAAATGTTATTGTTTTTCTTAAAAATATTTATGTTACTTTAAATGAAGTTTTGTTTATCTAATGTGTTACTTAGAAAAATTTCATTTACATTTATTAACAGATTAATGTTAATCTGACAGAACTGAATAATTAAATCATGTTAAATGATGCAGCAAAAATTGTTGCTAATTGAATTTCATCTGTGATCTATAAATCTACTAAAGATTTATATTAATCTGATTCAGTAATTGACTGTAGTGAGGTTTAAAGAATCAACCTACTGAGTTATCTTATCATTTTTTAACACCTCCTATTCTTTTAATACATGACAATATAGATATAATTTAATAAGTGAGTAATGTGGGATAATAAAAATTGAATAAACATAAAAAATTTTTTCACAGGCTAAAAATTAAATGGAAGGGTATGCATTAGCAGCCATGAGCTATAGGATATAAATTTAACGGTTAGAAAAAGTAATGGCTAGTTTGACTGTATCTTCGTCAAGCAAAAATAGTTCTCGTGGTAATTCACCAAATAGAGCGAATATTTCAACGCACCATCGACACTCATCGGTTAACCTGGAGCACGTGCCAAAGCCATGTAATCCTGCAGTGTAAGCTTCTCAATAATATTAATTTTTAATTCTAGTACACTGAAATTAACATCATTTAACTTACGTAGTTTAAAACCACTAACTTGTCTAATTTTCTTTTTACAATTTAATCAAAGAGCTTTTCTTCAATGCTTTTGCTTTAACAAAGTTACTTTCTGCTCAAAGACACATTCACAACTCTATACTTATTTCGTTCAACATATTTTAAAAAATAGTTAGTTGATGTCATTCAAAGTTAATAATATTGTATATAATATTGAAAAAATTTATAACTTTTTGATTTATGTGAATGCTGACATAGTTTAAAAGTCAGAACAAAATCCAATATATGATTTGAAAGTGATAAATCTAAAAAAAAGTTTGTCTAGACAAAGCACAGGTGATAGATAATATGATTAGGATCAACTTTTGTACTTCTCTTTCAACAATAAAAACATATGAATGAATGTAAAAATGAGTTACTATGAGACCAAATGATGATATCACTTTGTAATACTTTTCATTTTATCTATACCACAATCGATCAGAAATGAGAATATAGATATTCATTAAAAAATATTAGTCATGGTTTTATGATATTGCCTTTAAATTCCAATCATTAATAGAAGCACTTGAATGCATATAAATTAAATTTAAATTATAAAATCAAACATTAATAATTTTCTTGGAATTAATTAAATATCAAAGGTCTCATAAATAAATTGCCCGCTATTGGAAAAATAGGAATAAATATTCTATCATAATCGTTCGATTTTATTTGATATAAAAATAGTAAATAATAGTCATTTCAACAGCCAACCTGGAGAGGGAAGTACAGGAAGTGGTAGCAGCAGTGGTTGCGGAGGCACGGGCATGAAGAGTACTCGGCAAAGATCACCAGGTGCTATGGCACGATCTGGTGACAATGCAGATGAATCCAATCCTAATCCGTCCAATGTGGAATCTGAGGACTTTGTTTCCAATGTTCATCCACCAACGGACGATGAAGGAGTAAGTAAACACGAGAAATGTCAAGTTAATAATGAATAAAACATGTTTGCTATAATTATTCATCCGTGAAATTACTTGTGTCGTGGTTATAATCACTCCATGTATACAGCGAATCGGCATCCGTCTCAGTTATACACGCAGGGTCACGGGTTAAGGAATGGACAGTTAATTTACATAATGCTTCAAGTGGATCTAATGATAGTATGCAATGTGAATGAGTTCAAAGTAGCATTTGGTTGGAGTTTTTTTGATAATTCAATCATGAAAGTCTGTCAATTGTAGATAAATTATTAAATAAAATTATTTTGTGTATTTTAATATTTAATTAGTAGTGATAAAGTGCTAATAATTAACCTATTGTGTCTTTTAGGAAACTTATCACAACACAACTCAATCATTTCTGTCAAATGATTCATCTGAATTGATAACTGATGATGTGGATGCAAGTGGCATACGATTTCGTCAAGCCATCGAGCAAATTCAAAATAAAATTACCAAGACTCGTGAACTTATAAGAACAGAACAAAAAATGAGAGATGGTAAGATAACTATGTATTATTTTGTAACGTGAGAAATAGTTGTATTCATGTCAGCTTGAATGCAGTATTACGAAATTTAATACTGAGCTGAGAAAAAAAAGTGTATGTAAAATAAGCGATGTATCATGATGTATCATTCACTACGATATGATTCACTAGCGTGATAAGAATAATTTACTCTTTTACTTGCAGAGAATGTCAATGAATATTTAAAGCTTGCTGCAAACGCTGATAAACAACAATTGGTTAGGATTAAAACGGTATTTGAAAAGAAAAACCAAAAATCAGCCCACAACATTGCCCAATTGCAGAAGAAGCTGGATAGTTATTCGAAGAAATTAAGGAATTATGAAATGAATGGCGCACCAACGAGTCATCGACAACCAAGAGAGGTTCTTCGGGATATGGGTCAAGGATTAAAGTAATTTTCTTTATTTTTATCAAATAAAAAATCATTTTTAGAGAGGATAATAAATTTTTAATAGACAAATTATATTATCAAAGATGTTTATCACAATCTTAATTTTCTCTATAATAATATTCTTTCTTTCAAAACCTTTTGTTAAAAATAAGGTACTACAATTATCTAATACAAATCTAGTTTAAAATAACGGACTTGCTTCCTACAATGAATAAATATTTTTTTAACATAAATTTACATTTTGTCCGATGAAAAATACTCCTGTAATGAACATATTTTGTTGAGAGATCGACAATTATTTTAATTGAAATAAATTCCGGAAGGAAATGTCGTACTCACTCTGATAACTTATGATTTAATTAAATTGAATCTAATATAGATTTAAATATTGACGGTTGGGTAAAAATAACTACAATGTTAAGGCCACAGACATGTAAACTAGGTGTAGCACATAAATTTCTCAATCTAATTTAAGATTCTTTCCAGAAACGTGGGCGGGAATATCAGAGACGGAATTAGCGGATTTTCGGGGTAAGTTTAAATACAAAATGAAATTGAAACCGATTGTGATGATTCATTAAAATAAATATAAAAATTTCATTGCTCTCATTTCTTACAGGACTGTTATGTCAAAACCAAGAGAATTTGCTCATCTTATAAAAAATAAATTTGGCAGTGCTGACAATATAAATACATTATCACGTAAGTTAACTATCTATTGTAGCATTTTATCAGCAATTCAATCGATAACTTCAACTCTTAACAATATAACAGTATGAACTAATATTGAATTTTTAAATTGTGTAATAAGCTTATCTCAACACTAATATCTAACACTTTGAAAATAACATATCAAAAGTATTTATGATAAAAAAATAATTTATCTTATTAGAATAATTAAATCTAGTTGATTAGTTGAATTGAATAATCATAATTAAATTTTTTGCGCTGCCATTACAGTTGACAGTAGTAAGTAATAGACAATTAACATGCGCGTTGAGCTTTGTTCAGTATGATAAAATGCTTCTATCAATGTTGCTGAAGTAACTGCTATTTTTATCCTTCCATATTCCGCATTCAGATACGTGCTTCTTTAGTTCTCAGCTTAAGAAACTGCTTCCTTATTTAAGCTTACACATGAACTCGAGTTCAATCTGTATATTCTGAATTTATTATTCATATAATGATATAAACTCTACTTTGCTTCTGCCTACAGCATATTTGTAAGCTTTCCTGCTTATTCTTGTTACTTCTTTCTTTATTATATACCCACTGCTAGTTATCCAATACTAACTAATTTAGGGATCGTGTCGTTGCTTGGAAGATTGCTTGTACAGTTGTTATGCTAAGGAAATGTTCATTAGATCTATTTGTTGCATTCTTCGTTCAATTTTATTCAAGACAATGCATTAAAAACAACATAGTTATGATACGATACGATTGATAAACTTAGTATTGGATAACATTCTAATGCACAGCGTCTGTATCACCCGCAGATGGTTCAACTTTTTATGTAAACGATCCACCGCGTGCAGGTACTGGTGACAATGGTAGTGTTGAAGAAGAAAAAACTCATCATGGATCCGCTACTTTGCCTGGAGGTTGTAGTTTAGGTTCAACTCACAGTGCTGCACCCGTCAAATTCCCATCGGAAGAAGGATCAGAGTGTTCCAGTGTTACTAGTGAGAGTGGTCCAGGAAGCAGAGGTCAAGCTCATGCTTGTCACAACACTAATGCTGCGTTTAGTCTTAAATCAATTTTTTCGGAGCTCCAAGAACATCGGGAAAACTTTGATCGAATGAGAGAAAAATTAGAATCTTTTCAGGTATTTTTTTATTATTTATTTATTTAGTTTTTCAATAAAAAAGTAATATTTTTCAAGCTAACAATCGAAACATTACTTTACTTTAGGCTCTTCAGCAAGAGGTCACATATTTATCAAATGCTCTTCAGGAAGAGCGTTTTCGTTGTGAAAGACTTGAAGAGCAAATGAATGATTTAACAGAACTGCACCAAAATGAAGTGGAAAATCTAAAACAAACAATCACAGATATGGAAGAGAAAGTTCAATATCAAAGTGAAGATCGCCTACGGGACATACATGAAATGTTGGAAAGTTGCCAAACAAAAATTTCAAAAATGGAACATCAACAACAACAGCATCAACAGTATGTGACCCTTGAAGGACTAGATAACAGTAATGCAAGAGCATTAATTGTTAAATTGATTAACGTAGTTTTGACGGTTCTCCAAGTTGTTCTGTTACTAGTGGCCACCATTGCAGGAATAATGATGCCCTTTTTGAGAACAAGGTACAAGAGCCGAATATTATCGAATATTTCAGTATTACCTATCATCTCCAGCCTCTATTAGACAACTATGTAATTAGATTTACTTTAAAATTAATAGTTCACTAAATGAATGTTGTGAATGCACGTTTTTCTAGTTTTTTTTTTATTTATCTCATCAACATACCATCAGGGGACTGGAGAATTTTCAAGAGAAGGGATTACACATGCTCATCTTTTTTGTTTGTTGTTCACGTGTTTGTTTCAGCTGTACTAAGCCTCATTGTTTCATGTGCAGGGTGCGCATATTAACTACTACAATCGTCTTCTTGGGAATTGTATTTGTACTCAAGCAATGGCCTGAAGTGCACGATGTTGGAAGTCATCTTATGAGACATCTTAAACAAACACTTGCGGTCAAGTAGTTTTGTAAGTATTAATTATTTGACTAATTTCTAATCTCAAATTAATGAGAACTGCTTGAGAATAGCGAAAATGGGTACAAAAACTTTTTTAATTATTCAAAATATGCTGGTAAATTCTTTATATTTACAATTATGTTGTTATTAGGTCAATTGTCTCATTATTTTATTTATTTTTGAAAATCTTAAATATTATTAAATAAATTTTCATGAATTATTTACAGGAATTGACGAATAAATTGTTATAAAGTTCACCTCGAAAGTGTTATCTTATACAGAAAAAAACAGCAATAAATTGAAGAAATACAAAAAATATTAATCACCTCGGATTGAAAATCGAAATGTGCAGAATCGCTTAAATATTTATTATTATTTGTGTATGATTTGATAAGGCTTATTATTTATATATATTCGTATAGAATAATTGTATAATATTGTTTAGGTATTGATGTAAAGTATGTGATAAAAATTCAGAAAATTTAAATTCAGTGGATATAAAAAAAGCGTAAAACATGATTAATAAATAGTTATATAGAATTTCTAGAATGAAAAAGAAAGATTTTAAAGATTTAGAAATATTGATAATTAGATAAAATTTGTTATGTGTCGTGTTGTACAATTTAAGAAATAAGAAAAATAACGTAAACAAAAATGATAAATATAACATAATACGTAGTCGAAGTGAGACTAAGGCTGAAATAATTGGTTAGATGGACAATTTAAGTTGTTACACTCTGGAATGTATATTTTAAAAAAAAAATTATTTAAAAAAAATTCACGTACTCGGTTTATAAATGATCTATTTACTGATAGACACCCTCCAATTGTTTTTAATTTCTAATAACATATATGATAAATTTTTTAGAATTTATTATTTAAAGAAAGAATTCCATTAAAGTGATTGTTTCCAGTTAAAAGAATTTTTTTGAAATAATTTTTATTCCGGTGTTGTTTCTATTTTAAAATAAATAACGAAAGAGTAAAAAAAAAAGAATACTGATACCTCATACGAAATTTTGGTATCAAATTTTCGTATAAAGTGACTAAATTTCCAGTTATTTAATATTTTGATACAAAATCGATTGATTATTAATGCAAAATTATAAATCAATCTAAAGACAAAAAAATAAAATTGAAAATTCCAATATGCAATGCTATTGCTATTGTAAAAAGCACAAATTCAGTATTAAGAATATGAATAATAAAATATTGAAAATAGCAGTGATGATGATAATTATTATCTTTAAAATTATATGTAAAAAATAGAAAAGGTGTATTTTTATCTTTTTGGACCAGATAAAATACACATTAGCCCTATTTTCCATAATCAATATAAATCAATTACATTGTACGCTTTTGTGAAACTTTTACATTTTATTGCGGATTCATGTCTCCATTTTTTAAAGCTACCGTTGACTATAATTGTATAAAATATTTTAATAAGAAATTCATCCCATTGTATTCAATATAATAAGTTATTGTTGCTCTCTCGTATTTTGTCAAATTGCTGTGACTATAATAAGTTCAAATTAATCGGTAATCAATTCAAAATAATTTTTGGGATCAATCTTACGATTTTTAAATTTGCAGGTAATCCTGCTAGAAATCTGCCAAATATTTATATGTAAATTTTTATTACGCTTGGAAGCAATGGCAAAATGAATAGTTTTCCCATATCAAAAGCATAAGTACTAATGGAACATCATTGTTTCTACATATTTTCTTTCAATATTTTATCGTAATTTTTATTAAAATGTCTGTATATGAGGTTTTTATGTACATAAATTCTAAACTAGTTAATTAATAATGCAGTTATTATTAAATCACTGGATACGTTGTATCAATGAGTCATTAATTGACTTAGTTGTGTCCTTTGATATTTTTTCTTCATAGATTGTAGTTGAAATAAACTTGTAGAATAAAAGAAGCTATTTACAATTAGTAGCCAAAATAAAATATTTACAATTTATTAATAGTGTTGAAAAAAACTCTTCAACAAGCTTTTAAAAATTATGACGTATTAATATATTTTATGTTTTATTTAAAGCACAAACTGTAAAATGATGATAATTTGATTTAAAATCATTATTAGTTCAGATATTATTTTAAGAAAGCAGTATGTGAATGTATGGCATACGTTTGGTGCTTTGTATTATACGTAAAATAACAAATGATAAAATAATTGCGTTAGTTGAAGTGAAAAATGATTTAGTAAAGGATCCTCTGCTTTGATTTTAATGGTGAAATGATAATAAAACTACAATAAGACATTTTAAAAATAGAAAACATATATAAATATGTATTGAACTAGAGTAAAGAAAAAAAAAGACAAGAATTTTGTACTTTCTCAATGACAATTTGTAAATTTGTTTTTATTATTAAACAAAGAATTACAATTTTATATGTATTTTATAATCACAGAATTATGGAGAAAATTCAACTTAAAGAATTAAACAGAGGATCCTGCGTAGTCATTATAATTCATTATAATACGCAAAGCTATTTACAATAAATATCATTGATGCCTTGCTTAGATAAATATGATATAATAGAAAAAATAACAAAGTATCTGTCAATTTAAAAACAAAAAAAATATTAAATAGTAGTTGAAGTTTCTGTGCAATTCCTAACAATTTTATGCACATGCGTATATACTTAATGCTCTCTTTCTGTCTCTCTGTAAAAGTATCACCCACCGTATGAGCACTATAAACACTGGAACTATTTTTTAATAGCTGATAAACGAAAAAAAATCTTATGTTGCGATATTTTAGGCATCGATTTGTTTATTTATCCATCAAACTATACCTATACTATTGTTTATTACCATTAATAAAGAGCATTTTCTAGAAAAATACTAGTTTATATTTAATTATTCCTAATATTAACCAATTAAATTTATTACAAATATTTTTATTACTCATAAAAGTTCAATAAATTTTATAGAATGTATTTTTTTATCTGACATTGACTCATTACTATACACATTTTGAAAAGATTGTTAAAAGCAGGAAAAATTTCAATAAATTTGCTTGGTCATCATATCAGCCTTCCTGACATTTTCATTCAGAGTCGATGAATACTCATATTTCTTAATTTATTTCTTATTGTCATCGTGTATAAAATAAAATTTGTTAAAATAATCAAAATCAGTTCTGCTCGTATAAATAACGTATTTGATTCGATGTCTTAAAATAGAACAAAAAATAAGAACGTAAGTAAAAAAGTACTTTTATAAATCTAAAAGTAATCTACTCAATAAACTTATAAATTTATGAATATTTGAAAATCACACAACATTTATATTGCCTTGATTATAACAAATAGTATATAAAAATATTTTTATTAAGAAATTCAATTTTATTATTTTCATAATTATACAAGAAATTCCAAAAAAACTCGATAAAACATATCGAATAAATATTTTCACAATTTATGACATTAAATTTCGCACGAATCCAATTCGTCTTTTCATAGCATTAATCATTCTTCATCCATTATTTATTTACAAGATTTAATCGCTATTACAAATATTACTATTGTTTATCATAAGTCACTATGATTACTAAATTGTTCAGGTATTACTAAAGGTAAAAAACATTAATGAGTGATTATGACCACCCGGTAGACATAAGAAATGACTTTTGATTGAATTAAAATTTTTCATTAATTAAAATGATGTATAAGCGTTAAATGCAAATGTATTTTTTTTATGATCAACTGTATGAGACATGCTACATTTAAAATCTGCTCAGTCTGCATTTACTTCAATTTCATCATACAATGCCCTAATAATAATTGATGATGGAACACCATTTACTGCTGCTTCATCATTATTTGCTTCTTTCTCAGCAGAAGTTTCAGGCAAATGGTGTTTCTTTTTGTGGCACATCATGGTCGATCTCGAAACGAAAGCTTTACCACACATATCGCATTCATAAGGGCGTTCTCCCGTATGTAGTCTTTTGTGAATGGCCATTGGACTAAATTGTGTGAATGTTTTTCCACATACGTCACACCGGTAAGGACGCTCTCCTGTATGTGATCTCCTATGACATCTCAAAGCTGCTCGTCTTGCAAAGACTTTATGACACATCTCACATTGAAAACTTTTTTCTCCAGTATGCATCGTAGAATGAATTTTAAGATCTACTCTTGTGAGAAAACCTTTTCCACAAACTTCACAAAGATAAGGTTTCTCACCAGTATGAATTCGGAGGTGAGTATTCAAGTAGCTTTTGCTAACAAACATTTTATTACAAACTTCACACGGATATTGACGATTATCAGTTCCAGAATGTATTTTTTGATGACTTTTACACAATCCTTTAGTAATAAACCCTCTACCACAAATCTCACACATGTAAGGCTTAACACCAAGATGTCGATTTTGATGATCTAAAAGTGATTGCTTAGTTTTGAAATTTTGTCCACAAGTATTACAAGGGTATGGTTTTAAGTCTGAGTGAACTCGTTGATGAACAATCAAATAACTTTTACATTGAAAACCTTTTCCACACGTAGAGCAACTATAGTCAAATTGACCCGTATGAGTTGCTGTATGTTGAGCAAGACCAATTTTACTCCTAAAAGCTTTTTCGCATAATAGACACTGAAAAGGTTTTTCTCCTGTATGTTTTCTCATATGCTCTTGGAGTTTGTAATTAGTACGATACTGTTTACCGCATTGATTACAAACTTTTGGAGTCCATTTTTGTCTAACATTTGATTGTGCTTTTTTGCTTCCTTCTGTGGTATTATCAGTAGTAGGTACAGATTCTGAAGATTCTGTTTTTTCAATTTCATTTTTTGGTCCTACAACTTTCTCTAAAGAACACTGTTGTCCATGAAGATTAAATTCTTCAACACTTGTAAAGAAAAGTCCACATGGGCAAGAACAAAAATGTTGTTCAAAGTGTTCAACAAGACTGTTCGGCTCATTAGCAGCTATTTTACAGAAAGGACAAATATACCAATTAGAACCTGTATCATCTATTGTAGGATTATTTAATATACTCTCTAATAATCCGCTTTTAGTATTTCCGGTATATTCAACAACAATTTCAATATTATTCGCAGTTTCTTGGCTTGTGGACGGCATTGGACTGGAATGAAGGGATTCAGATACTCCAGAACCTTGTGCTTTATTACCAATTGTTTCATCAACGTCACTTTCAGTAGCTGCTTGAGTTTGAGAGAAGCCATCATTTGCAACATTATTTTCCATATTGCGTGTAGACGCATCTGTTGTTAATCTATCATGTATTCTTTCATATTCTTCCTTTACTGCTACTGTTTCATATTTATCATTTTCACAATAATGAAGTATTTGTTCTTCACTTTGAGAACCTGGATCTATAGCTGTTACATAATTTATTCCAAGATGATCTACTGTTAAATTTCCTACCACTGTCATTCCACCATCCAAATGCATAGTTATTTGATGATTAGAAACCTGAAATAAATTATTGAACTAAAATTTACATATTTCTTATTAAAATCAAAGTACTTTACAATATTAACAACTAATAAAATCATTGAAATCTTCAATCAAATATTTAAATTTATTTTATATCACAAAAAATAAAGTTCAGTCTTGAGGTTGTTCGTTTTAATGAATATTTACATAATTTTACTTACATCATGAATATGTTCATCAACCATCTGAACAGTATGACTATCTAGACAGTCAATTCCTGAGACTTCGATGTCAGTTTCCTGTTGTCCAATTTCCTCTTGTGTAACAACTTGTTCACCACCAGCTAAATCCATTTCATCCATTACTCTCATTGTATGAATATTAGGTTCAGCCGTTTCAGAATGCGTTCCAGGAGTTTGAATACTATTTATATTATGAGAAATTGGTTCGATGTCTGTTTGAATAACCGGTATTTCATTGACATTTTGCAAAGAATCTTCTATATGATGAATATTTTCATCTTTTATTTCTTTTAACATTTCCATAAACAATTCTTCAGTGTGTAAACATTTTTCTCGGAAATCAAACATCTGATCTAACTTAAAAGCACAAGGTTCACAAACAACTTTAGGAAGCTGATCACTCAAAGAAACCTGTAAAGAATAATTATTATTATTCATAAAGAAAAAAGAGAGATATTAAATTACTAAAATAAATGATAAAAATTAAAAGATAATTATCATACGTTAAATCACATGATATTTTACATACTTGTACAGGCAAACAAGCAGCTATTTTTTTATCAATATTTCTCAATCGATCTCCAGCTTCGAAAATTGGCAAACCCATCAAAATTCCTGTTTTCGTAGCACACAGGCGACATAAGTAATCGAATTCTCCAACGACGGCCATATCAAACGAGATGAAGACTCAAAAAGACGTTTAGTTAGGTATAACCAAAGTTTTTAGAGAAAACAGTTATTTATCAAACGAAAATTTAGTGGCACAAAATCTACGATGCATCCCTACATAGTTTAATAACTATGTAAATCTACTGTTAGCTTTGTTCCATAATACACAAGTTTGTCAAAGGACTTATTTCCTTTGCAGAATGAAACACTTTTCTACATCTATAAATCGACACTCCGGCATCCGAAGCTTCTGAACTGAAGTAAGCAAGAACGAGATAATGCGTACGAAAAATTAATGTACATGAGTGAGAAAAAGAATGGAGCAACAGAACAAGTGATTCTGAAAGCGTTCCACCACCATTCTATAATTGTTACCAACTGTATAAGTTATGAAACTTTTCAAAGTTAGGGAATTTATTTTTTGAAAAGAACAACCTCTTATCGGTTGAGCTAATTGGAATTCTTTTCTCTGGTCAAATATAGATGGAGTCAAATGTTTATTTTGGCACATGCGAATTTTCAAGAATTTGGAGGTACAGGTGATCAGAACTTGGAATATATAGTCGGACTGAGAAGAGAGTTCCTCAGATGCTCTTCATGTGTTCTTGTACGCTTGCGCAGTAGTAAAAAACATGGTAGAAGGGGTAGAAAATCAATGGTGGGGAGGCCGAAAGCATTGAAGCAAAACAAACGAATATTAAATGCACATAGTCACCATTTATGGTCACCAGTAAAGTCAAATATCCTTCATCAAATATTTTTGTCATTTTACAATACTTTAAATTTGATAAATATTATGACTTTGATTCCAATTAATAATTTTGAAGTCATCAACTATAAGTATTTCAGTCGCATATACTGAGAAACCTTGGCCTCGCGATAACAATTATTCTTATGATAATTAATGTGTTCAAGGTAATGTTAGTTCGACTCAAATGACAGCTCATAAAATTGAACATTAATGTGTAGCCATTAATAATTTTTTTTTCTTGAAGAAAAAATTTTTTTTTCTAACAGACTTGAAAAGAATAAAATTTCAAGAAGACGATAGTCGTACTGTGAGCAAATTCAGAGAATAATAAAAATACAGAGATATAAGGCATAATCTATATAAATGTGTGTGAGTTTGTGTGCGTGTGTGGCATGGCTACTTGACGATGAGAGCAAACTGAACGCGGGGCAGGCCTCGACGTCGTCCGATAACGAGGAAAGATTAATCCCAAGGACAAGGTCAGACATGCCCGCCGTGTTCCTTGACTCGTTTATAATGTGTATATTCACATCGACACATATCAAACACATTAACCAATACGCAAGTCACACAGAGATTGGTAAGCAACATTCAAGAAAGACATCACGATAGACTATTTTCCTATTTGTCCACGTGCTCCTGGATTTTTTGATGGCATAAAGACATCAAGGTTGTGTAATGAATCATAAAAATAGTTTAAATTATATTTTCATGTGTCATTGTGTTTCTGTGTGATTTGAATTCTCATAAAATGTCATGTCGAATAATTTATTAGACTTATTAAAATGATCACATCTTTAATTTTCATTGAATTTCAATAAATATTTTTTTTTCTTTCAATTTTGGTTACATAAAGATTTAAAATAAATTTCAAGTTTAATTAAAATGACTCATTTTTTGACTAACAGTTTTAAAGCTTATATTGGTGGCCATGAGGATTGAAGAACGAGTCATCATATTCTAGCGGAAATAACATCACTTTACACTTGAACGTGTCATCAAGATTTGCTTGAATGTATTATATTCTCAACAAATTTAATTATACTCACGTGTTATGGAAATCATTTGAATCGTGAGAATTCAATACAGGAAATGTTTCTATAATTTATTGCCGAAATTCGATTATTTGTATCAGATGGAAAAAATTTTATTCTAAATCTAATAACAGCATTTTTCATTTCAATCTTTACATAATTGACTTCTTCAAATTTAGAAAACATTGCTTATGTGAGAGGGAATTTTTTTTTTATCCTGAAATATTTAAATTTCTGTCTTTCAACGATGGATAATCACAAATAAAACACATGACCTCATCAGTAGAAAAAATATATATGGTTATAGGGGTTTTTGCTTGAGTGTTGAAAAGAAATGTTTAGTCGCACGTGTCGAGCTGAAAGTTCGGTAGAGTCAAGGACAGTGATAGTGAGTAACTTCGTAGAACGTTGAGAGTTTAGATAATGAAGAACATTCTTGATGACAATTATGACAACTACCAGAACTGATTATTTTTTATCTCTCTAATAGTATGTCAATTCAAATTTCCTCAAAAATACTCCATTTCTATTTGATAAATTTCTCTATAAGCTCCAAAAATATCTAACATTATCGTCTACATATAAATCGACAGTTTCAAGTATCCAATATTAGAGATATGCTGTTGAAAAGACAGCAATTAAATTAAAATTCAAAATCAAATCGATTATTTATTTATTTTAAATATTATGGTACTCAAAGGTCATAATTTAAATCATGAGATCATTTAAAAGTAATTGTCAGATTATAATAAATTGGAGGATAAATTTCAAGTCATATATATCAACATTTGGAGGCTTAAATCAGAAAAAAACTCATAACCCAGTCATAAAATGGTCATTTTTCATGAAAACTCAATCCTCTGTCGTAAATATAACTAACAAGTATTAAAACTTGATTAGAGATCTTCATTTATAGAGAAAGCAAAGAATTGATATGAAATATTAATGATACTTCAATTTGATAAATGTAAAAATGAAATATATTGTGTGAAAAGAATCATTTAAATTGAAAACATCAGGACATAATTTTTTATTACATCGACATATAGATTTATGTATAATTATTACAAGGTATCACGCATGAGTGATGAATAATATAAGGGGTTGGTAGATTGATGTATTTTTATTTATTATTTTTTTTATATTAAAAGAAATCCAATAATCGACAAAAATTTTTCAAAATTCGTAATATAAAAAATATTAATGTAGTATCTATAACATTGAACTTTTCTAATTAAGGTATATCTATAGATATAGTAATTATATCATCTAATTTAAAATTTATTTAAAGTCCAAGGACACAATATTATTAGATTTTAATCATACAAACTCTATAAATACCATAAATTGTATAAACGTTAAATATATTTTGTTCAATACGAAAGAGTTTAATTCGAAAAAATATTTTTTAAGGATTAATTGATAAGTAATTTTATTTGTAATTTAGTTTTGTACAAATTGATACGATAATATTAAACCAAATAATATTTTTTATTACACACTTATGTACTGGTTCAAGTACAAAATATTCTATATATATCATCAAAATTATTATTATTACTATTTTTAACGATAATTAATGTTTTAATGTTTATTAATAAGCTTGAAAAATGTATAAATCAATCGAGATATATGTAAACAAATGATGATAAATTTTAATACATAAAAGTAAAATTAGTACATTATATCCTCATAATTTGTGATAATAAAATCTTATGGTATATAATAATTTTGGTAATTATTTAGAATTGGGGCTCCAGTCAAAAATCGCTCCAAAAATTTTTTATGCATTTGGGGTTGTTTCTGAGGGTACAAATAGTAAATTTAGGCGGGGGAGACATATTATTTCCATTATTTCAGACATTACATGGTACAACTTACATATGATAAATCAATGAATTTCTTAAAAATCATTGATCGTACATTTCATAACGTAGCAAAAAGAGGCAAGGGGGGTGGAAGTGTTTATAATTTAGTTAACGCTTACTTGTCTTCCCCTCCATGCTCTTATTATATTAGAACTTTGATGTAAATAAACATATCAATTATTTTGTTTCGATTTCTCCGCGATATAAGCGATGAATTTTTTTGTTTACACTAATCCGACGATTACTGAGAATTGTATCTCTCCCATATTATGATATTATGATTTTCACTTCTAGAAATTTACATTCTTTTGCTTTTGTTCTTATTTATGAGTAAGTTTAGCATATATCTGTCTCGTTCATTCTTACTGGTAGAATAAACGTTCGTTTTCATACATACTGTTTACATTTTTTATTTCATCGGTTTTGAAGGCAATTTATATTCAATTTATTCGCGATTTAGATCATTTTATCAGTTTGATAGAAATCATGACGTGTGAAGGATGTTCCATATCTATTCGGCATGCGTCAATTAATTTTGAATCACGCGAACGTAGTCTAAAATTTTTGCAAGACCATGGAATAATAGTAGAAAGCGTATTGTGTACTACATGCGGTAATCCTGCATCGTTTTCTCCTCCGAAATGTCTATGGCGATGTCAGCGGCGTCATAGAACAAAACAGGACATAAAGTCATTAATAAAAAGTGCAATTTTAAGAGATCAGTGCGAGCCGACTCTTGGATCGAGAACACAAATTTAACACCAGAAAAAACGTGTGCCTTTCTAGCCATGTATATTTACTTAATCCGCCGCATCAACAAATGTTGGTTGATGAATTAGAATTATCTTCGACTACTGTGTGTGACTGGAGTTACTTTATTCGTGAAATGTTAGAAGAATGGTGCATTGATAATTCTAATAAACAATTAGGCGGTGAAGGACACATAGTGGAAATCGATGAAGCTAAATTTGGTCATCGTAAGTACAATCGTGGGCGAATTATTGAAGGGCAATGGATATTCGGTGGGTTTGATAGAGACACTGGTGAGGTATTCATGGAAACGGTACCGAATCGTTCAGCAGCTGTATATTAAAAATAATACAACGCAGGATAAAACCGGGTACCACTATAATGTCGGATTGTTGGAGAGCATACAATTGTCTGGATGATCGCGGTATTCGTTATACACTTATTTATCCACTCATGCATGCAATCATCTAGCCATCCATTTATTTATCCATCCATTTACCCATTAATTCATCCATTTATCTATCCATTCACTCATTTATTCATCCATTTACCTATTTATTCACTCATTCATTCATCCATTTATACATTAATACGATCAACTATCCACTCATTCATTCATTCATCTATTTATTCATTTATTCGTCCATTTATCTATCCATTGACTCATTTATTTATTCATTTACCCATTTATTCACTCATTCATTCATCCATCTATACATTTATACATTCAACTATCCACTCATTCATCCATTCATCTATTTATTCAACTATTTATTCATTTATTCATCCATTTACTCATTCATTCACTCATTCATCCATGTATTAAACTGTTTATTAATATACTTTCAGGCTACAAGCACCTGACG